TTACACCAGTCTCTTCAGTCGATAGTAGCCAGTGGTTTTGAATACTGGTCCTAAGCAACTGTCAAAATTATTATGGGATGGTGCCATTGCTAAGCTGTTTAACCTTGCACGTTTGAAGGAAGAATAAGTTTATGAAACGAAGCGAATTTGTCGTACTTTGAGCGTCCCCTTGGCATCTGCAGAGAGAGCGCAAGTTGAAGCTGTTCGTTGGAAAGAAGTGGTAAAATCAAGGGTGAAACTTCAATGTGGTCAGCTGTTTCAAACGTTTTGCAGGAATCAGTTTAAAAAGCGCTGTCATCAGCGCTGCAACGCAGAAAAGAGAATCGTCGAAGGCACCTTTTTGCACCTGTTGTACCGTAAAGTGGAAACATACCTGAAATACCTGAAAGAAATCAGGAGGCTATGTTTATGAGTGAGAAAATTCTTCTTAAAATGCGTTTTATGAGCGCTGTCTTTCCAGGATTAATGTATGTGCTATAAAAGATAGTTTACAGCCAACCCAACGAATCTCTTCTTTAGTCGTTTCACCGACGTTAGGTTAATATAGACAATTTGTTCATCTTCTAATGTTTTGTTGTCGCACACAAATCTAGTAATAATGACTGCTGATCGTCTGGTTCCCATTCTTTCGCCTGTCGTCGTCGTGCATTTGATCACATCGAGGAGAGGGAGCACTACCTGAATGCAGTGTTCCGGCGAGATCAGGCTTCTCAGAAATTTCCCTCAATTTTAGCCACTCCCCCTCATAAGTAACGATGTTTTCTTGCACTGTTTAATATCCAAAAGTCCGTTCTTGTGTTCTCTTGGTGATATGCGTAGTACTGAATTCAGCCAATATTTAAGCAGACAATCCAACACTCACGATTTAAAATATTCTTGGAGTACAAATTTTGATCTACTCAGTGAACAGAAAAAAACCGACTCATTAATTAGTATGAGCTTCGTTTAAGGAGATTCGACGATGCGATCTTCACAGAACAAAGGGACAGTTTAACATCCAGTAACGAGAAATTCACGGTCGATATATGTGACACAGCCTCTGCATTCATGTATTTCATCAGTAAGAAATGCTTACAGAGCGTTCAGAATTACATAGAGCGACTGACTGACGAATTGGTAAATGGGATATGCCCAGATGATCGACAAGGAAATTTCTGGCCAAAGAATCGGCTACTGAACGAACTGTTTCATTTCCATCCATCCTTGTACATGAAACCATGGAATTGGCAGACTAACTATTTCTCAAGATTCGCTCGTTTTACCCAAAATAGGTTTGCAAATTTTTGGCATTTATTTCATTTGTTTTTATTTTTTTTAATGAATGTCATACGAGAAATAGCATTTGAATAACTTAGATGAAAATGTACTTCTTACCATAGGCCTTAATGCGTTTTTTGACCAGGGTAAATGACAGATAATTTAAATTTAGATCAAACTGATTTTTGCTGTTTTTGGGATCTTATGAAATGGAAGTCTGCCAAAATCTGCAAGCAATCACAGATGCTTGATCTTCATAAAAGTTTAGTTATTTATTTATTTAGTTTTTCTTACCTAATCGGGAAGGAGATTTCGAAGGCGTAACTATGGAATCAATTCGATGGCCAAATTGAAAAAGACTGTTGTCAAAGCTGAAGCCCGGTTGACAACTGGACTAAAGGTGGAGGAAGCAAATAAATTTCCATTACAATCATTTGCGATCTTCCCAACAAAGACCAGTCAAAAATGGATTAGATTTTTTGTACAAAAAATGAGTTTTTTTGCATTTTTCGTAGAAGCTGCGCAAAAGCCGGTTTGCGTTGGAAGACGAAGCCTTGCAAACAATTCGAGGAATGCGGCATGAAGCCAGACCATGGAGCATGGCAATTTTGGTTGCCATGGGAATTTGTTTTACATCACCAGCGATGCTGCTGAGGTTAGTCGGATGGGTCAGTCATTTGGCATTACCAATTCGCACAACGCCTAAATCCAAGCCAACTAATTTAATGTTTTTGGGGTGGCATAGAAGGAGTACCGGCTTTTAGAACGGCTGCCACTGTAAGTGCTCAAATCCCACAGAACCATGAGCTGCATAAATGGCTCCCTTAGGCAGCTCGGAGCAAGGGAGTGTTGCCATGCACCATCAAATCTGGTCTTGGAGTTGTACGTTATTGCTAGTTGTCTAATCACCTCCAACAGCAGGGCAAGTTTGTTAAAGAAATTTATTTCACAGACATTAAATCACAAATGGTAAAAGCAAGTATGAACAGATTTCTTTACCAGGTAACCTTACCTCTGAAAATCTTAATATCACATGTTCTATCCTCAGGTGAAAAAACTGAGAGTCACCTTGCTTTTTATTTACAATACTTCTTTCTTCACAACTTCCCAGCTCATGTGTCCTTCAGCTGGCTTGAATTGTTCCTTTCCCGTCTGCTTTTCTTCCCACTGTGAAAAGTAATCTGGAATGCGAAATGCAAATCTGGTGTTTAATACCACCTAAACTACGGGTTTTGACGTGAAATTAAACACTGCTTAAATCAATAGAAAGCTATCTTAATAATCACTCTTGTCATGCTGGCTCTTATGCGAAACCTGAAACTACGCTTTACTGAGTATCAGCCGTTTGCCTGTCGGTGGTATCTGGCTATTCTATTCTCACGGTACTGCTAATAAACCGCGTTTTAGCAGTGTTTCATTTTTGCAGCGAGGCATTGACAGAACACCGTATGCACATCATGAACATATGACATGAGTTCAATATTTCCGCTGCTTATCAGGAATCAGCACTGGCAGCTTACAATGTTCCTGCTGTCAAACAAAGTGCAAAGTATACGATCTTCCAAGTCTGCGTATTCATCGATTCTGCCATGCGCTCTCTGCTTGATTATTTTGACTGATAATCAGTTTATCAATGATAATGATAATATGATTATAAAATGACATGATAATTAATACTGATAATTTAAGATCAGTGCGGTATTAGGAGTAAAGTGGTGATGTCCGGCGCCAAGTGCTCTAGCTAACGAAAGAGAATACGACCTCGAGCCGAAGTGATTCCTTCACTTTAGGAAAAGGAAGAGGAGACGGAAGAAAACAGCGAAGAAAAATACCTGAAACGACAACGAGGGTTCAATCGATAGCAAAAGATTAGCAATACCAGTGTCTTTTCCTTCTTTCTACCAAAGGTGCCACTTCGAGCGTTAAGCAGTTACACTCGATAGTATCTTACGATTTTTCGTGATTAGGCGAAGACAATGCGTAGGTGGTTGGTAGAGTTTGGCGTTCCCTGCAGAGAAAACGTTCTTTCAGCAGTCGAGAAGATCTTTTGCACATCTGAGGCTAGCCATTGCTTGCTTCCCTCAATATCCAGAGATTGAGCATTCAGTTCAGACGTCTCTGGTCATACAGAAAATAGCACAAAACGTGGTTTATTCATGCAGAACGCAAACAATATGGTCAATTGGGTAATTAGCCAGTACAGCTTTCTGGCTCCAAACGTTACAACAGAAAAAACTTCTGGACTCAATTCTGTCGTCAGACACGAATCATAACGTCGCTACACTGGTTATTCATCCGGCTGATCATATTGTTCGCATTGTGTATAAACAAACCATGTTTTATGTTGTTTTCTGTATTCTTCCATACATGCTTAAGATATAGGCAGTGGTCATGTGGCGGCGGGAAGATGCGATGTCAAGTCTTCAACTACAGTATCATATGTCTAGGCAAACTCATGAACTCGGATTTGCACAGGAAACAACTTTAAACAAAGAATCCTTCGAACCATTCGTCCATAGACGTTACCGTCAGCGTGTGCACTGCGACAAGAACCAATCTTGACGATTCATTTGATGACCTAGACTGGGACCAAGACGATCAAACCAACCGACGAGATATCTGTTGAGCACCTTCTATGGAACATAATGAATATGAAATGCCGTATCAGGCGTTATTAGACGACTCATACATGAAATGTAAAAATATTCATTTGCCAGTTAGCCATAGCCATGTGATAGCTCATGCCGTGCAGCAGAACAAGTTGCTGAGATTGTTAGAACGTATGGATATGAGAAATTGTGTTGGTGAGTTGTGCGGCCATAAGTGGATCAAGTGGTGCTCAGAATGTATGCATGCACTTATGTAACATACCTACGGTGGGCAAGACGCTTGAAAATTAGTGTTGAAACGTTATGCACCCACATGAAGATTTCAAGCAATATTTTTTAAGCAAAAACCAGTATAATGACGGCTTATTAATACACAAGGCAATACAATAAAGTGATCTCTCAGATGATAGATCTATACCAATAACCTTCCACAGAGGTTTATCAGAATCATAATACTTACCTTGTAGAAAGTTAATGAGATACTGGTGGAAACATCGGGTTCGACCGACCATTCTGCTGCGTTGCACACTGACAAAGCGTTTATTTGCTTTGTTTTTCAGTGTCAATACCAACTCATCAATTAAGCACATCATTTTTAAAACCAGAGATAATTAAAAGTTTCAGATGACCGTCTTCAAAGGAAAAATGATGAGTTCTTGTGGAATAATGTTATTAATCCAGTAGCAGAGCCCAGTTGTAGTTCGCCATCTGCACAATCACAAACTGGTTCACTTCGTATGGCCAAGTGATTTATCTCATAGGATTTGCTGAACGTCTAGAATCAAACATCCTCGATTCGTCGTCAGAGGCTGCATGATGTACTCACTGCGTATCGACCAGTGCAATGATACCAACGGACAAATGACATTTATATCATTGTACATTGGTAGCCAGCCAGTGTGCGATACGGCCCCTCTGGGAATGTCGAATGTGATCGAAAGAAAGCATAAATATGAAATGGGTATTTTGCTATGCGGTTATATCATTAGATCATGAAATGGTCACAAACCTCAGTTTTGAGTTGCTGGCTGACCTGAGTGACTATCAGAAGATGATTGCTTTTGTTTTTGCGATTTAGTGGCACAGGTTGATAGCGCAGCAACGGAAGAACAGCGACGTCACGGGGTGAGACGATTAAAGTTTCGGACCGACGATGAAGCTGCTGCTGGTCTTTTCTTTGTACTTTTGCACAGTCTTTTGGCGAGGTGCGACGACGTCGGTCGTTGAATGACTGGAAGACAACCAAGCCTTGGCGGCGGAGGCGGCGAGGTACAAAGACGAACAGAGGATGAGGAAGAGTGGTCGGTGCTGCTGCCGGTTCAGCTCGGTCAGTTTCGAAGTGCGAATGGCGGTTATTAGAGGGCGGTGATTTACGACGGATCGACGACCGCGTCGCAACGCCTCGCTGCAGAGGGCTGTACCAGGAAATGGGCCATAAATTTCCACCGGACGAAGAACATTGGTGCGCACCACGGCCAAATTATTGCCATAAATTTTTCGATCCAGCGAAAGTTGCTCATCTCGTTTTGCGCAATTGCGCTCCGTGTGTCAGCTGAAGCTAATAAATTCTCGCGACTTCCATGAAGCCTGTCACATAAAGGGCGAAATGCCGCCGTCTTCGGTTCGCCGGAAGATTGCCACCAAGGGGGCGACGTCGCCTGCGCATCCCTCGGCCGGGGACGGCCTGCCATTGCGACTTCGAGGTAGCTTGGCCCCAGTGGTTCGGGTTCGGGTTCGACAGCTACGCGCGATCGAAGGTCACCAAACCGTATCGAATCTGATCCTCATAATCCATGCACGGACACAGCTGGGAATTATCTATGATATGACCTACATCCCGAGGTGCAGCGCTTCAGCCGAGCTAATGATTGAATATATGGCACAATAAACAAAAACAGTGAAATAATTTATTAATCATCACACGCCACTGGAAACACTTAGCTATAACAGGAAGACCTGGCCGAAAAACGCTGCCGGCACACAGTCTCACACTCAGTTCGAGTGTAAGCACCCCAGTCAAGCGAACGAACCGGATGTTAACGCGCGCGCACCTTCGCCTGTGAGTGAAGACGACGGCGACAACGGCGGTGGCAGCTGTCGGTCAGTGACCGGCCGACTGTGACGGTACCAAATGGAGCCGTGCCCTGGTGCCCCGTGGTCGTTCGCCGACCCGCAGTTCCGTTGCACAGTGAACACCGTCACTAGAGAGTCCAGTCCATTGGTCGGTCCGGTCCGAGGCATGTGCTGTGCCGGCGGTCAGCGGCGCTGGTGCTAGCCGAGCTCGAGTCCTAACTCGCCGCTCACTTGCAGGTGTGGACGTCCATCTCCCAGGAGCAGGTCTTGCAGTTGACGTAGCAGCACCAGACGAATTTGCAGTGGCAGCGCTCGTAGCGGACGGTCAGCCGGGTGTCGTAGCCGCGGCCACAGCACAGCACGTCGCAGCTGTCCGACCCGGAGTAGGTCTTGTTGCACTGACGGCCATAGGTGCCGAGGATGCCGAGGTTGGCGTTGCGAACACAGTAGTTTGGCGACCGGTTGACGTACACCAACTCGTTGGTCCTTATGCGGATGCGGCGTTCGAATTTGTTCTTTCTGCGCAGCCGTTTACGAGCATGCTTAGCCACTTGCACAGCAGACCGGTCGTACAGGTTCTTGAGGTGCTGGCCGACCTCACCCAACCTCGGCATGCTCTGCCAGCAAGTCTTGAACTCACAAGATCCGCTCACGCCGTGACAGCGGCACTGCCGTCGCACCAGCTCTGCAACAGCCTAAACGCACAAAAACCGATGTTAACACTACACGTCGACAGCACTAGGTTCAAATGGTCGATCTCGGACGTCGTCAGATGTCACAGAACGGTCAATAGTGTCATATGAGGCCTGAACTCGATTAAACGAGTATCAAAAGACAGATTAAGGAAAGAAGGGGCTCAGAAGGAACCTCCCTTGAAGATCTGATTAAGTTTACAACTGGTCACGTTCAGTTGAAAGGTACATCCATATTTGCCCATTCTTACTTAGTAACGATTGATCCATGCATACAGTGGCAATGATCGAATCAGGGCTGGACTCAAGATGACCCTGCGGTCGGTGCTGTGAAACGTGATGGCATCGAACTGTTTACTATCTGATGTATATGGTGCCCTGAACCATGAATCATTCAAACAACCATACATATTACAATGAGCCCAGAATCAGAAATCTGAACTATTATTTATTCAACTGTTTTTCATGGTGAGGTTGAAACTTATCACACCAGACAGCCCTGTGATGATCACGCTAGGAAGTTAACTGTCAGGTGACTCAAGACGGATCTAAGCCCAGAGAATTATTGGCATCAGGAAACATGGCAATACGAATGGTAATGGTACGATAGGACTACTACTGTTCATACCTGGTAGAGGTTAATGTGATCATGCAATGATAAGGCGTTCACTTATGAAACTCGTAACCAGGCCCAAGATTTATTTTGGGGAAGGGAATTATCTTATGTAGATCTTATCAAAGTGGATAGTCGGATCGGCTGATAGATTGATTAATGTAAATTACAGCTATAAAAAGCTCTCACGTCAGACAACAATGAGCGATTCTCACTTCAGTTCTGATATGACCACGCTGGAATACCACGGGATATATACTGTTTCCAAGACATTAGATCTTCCTAGGCTTTCGATTACCTGAATCGAAGCAACGTAAAGTAAAGTCTTTGCTCAAGGGAATTGGCAGGTAAGGGAATTTTGTTATCTACTTTGGTCTTCTCCACTGTCCCCTCCCAAGAACAGAGCGGTGGACTCAGAATTGAGAGGTTATGGATTCGAACTTTCTTTTCTTCAAGCTTGATGAATGAGCATCACTCTGCAAAAGGAAATAAGAGACTATGCTGTATGTTTATCACGCAGCTGCTTGCGATCATGCCCTTGAAATAAGGGCTTAGTCGATGATGGCATGTCAGTGGGCATCATGAAATGAACGTGTAAAGGAGACCGGCAACCCAACGGTAACAAACTTTCATCTATCACCCATTTAAAAATATGCAATGAATGGCACTGTGCCAAAAAATAAATAAAAATTTCATTCAACAGTAGGCCTTTGTGCCTTAGAACCGTAGTCCTTAATCAGCAAGGCAATACTATCATCATACTCTTGATAATAACTACCCTTCATGGCCAGTAAGAAAATCTTTTCAAAGAAGAACTATGCCGTGATTACAAACCGAAACAGAAATCTGGGGGCAAGGATTGGCAGATCTTCAAGCTTTCCATAGCGAACGGGTCTTGCTGTTTTTCACCTGCATCCTAATAAGGAGTTTCAGGTTTGCATGAAACTTTTGAAAGTCTTTCTTGCTTCTGCTATCAGTGGTACTGAAGACGATGCGGTAATGGGGACGGAAGCGAGTACCGTCCGTGGGACTGCGCAGGCGTCTCAAAACGGCAAAGTAGTCAGAAGTACCGTAATATCGGTGAGAATGGATAACGATGCTGAACGACCGATTCACTAATTGATTGTCGAGCGCGGATACATTCGGTATTATTTAATAAGACGATGCATGTGGGGTTTTTTCACCCCATAGCTTTCTTGGCAGGTGTGTTGCTAAAAATCTGCTACGCCTTAGATGATGATGGCGGCAACCATAACTAACTGCCGCGTTGTTTCTCATGGTGGTTCACTCCTCAGTTCTAAACCGAAAATTGATTAAAATTAAAACAAATAAACGTTATTTTAATTAATTAATTAGCCAGGTTAAATTTAAGCAATTAAATGATTGACTTCCGAGCCAACTTTCGTGTGCTACTTTGCTTATTTCGTCTAGTAACTGTCATTAGAGATCAACAGTAGCCTTAGCTGAACAAAGTTTTGATATTGATGCTCCTACACAACAAAATTTATACGAGGTTTCATTCGTCGACCCAATAGTTTCCCACGTCACTTTTAAAATATTTGCCTGTGTACACAGGGTGTACTGACGCAGGGGTGATCATAATTCAGTTTTCACTGTAGGCATCACTGCAGATGCAAAATTGTTAATGAATAGATGATCAGAAGTAAATTGTGACAGCGTTGGAACGGTTGACTGACTCACGCCCCAAAAGTTTAAGCGAGGTAGACAAGGAAACTCGTGCACTGTAACACTGTACACTGCACAGCCGATAAGGCTACATTAACAAATCAGTTTATTATTATCTCCCGTTAAACTGACGGCCTTGAAGTGGTGCAGGAGCCCGGTACCGTAAGGCATGACCGCGTTTTCTGACAGTCGCCAATGGTGTCTGTCTGGGATCCAAAGCTCGCAAAACGTTCCACAGTCCGTTTGGCCAAACAAAAGCTGAAGAGACAAGGGAAACAGTTCATGAGATCTTCACTGCCTAAGTATTACTAGGAAAAAGAGTTTCAGCGAAAGAGGGAAACTGAGAAGTCACTCCGAACATCTTGAACAGACTACTCAGAGGACGTCACCATGCAATTGGCCGCGATGGTCAAAGTGCTTGGTTCGCGGTGGGATTAGAGAGCAGCGTACAAGCAGGATGGATACTCGTGGCGCATCTACGAGGAGGATAAATTTTATGAAATAGGAAAGATTAGCATAATTTAATTATGCTACGAAATTATAACTGTTCCTTGGCGATGGCAAAGATTTAATTAATTAGAGGTTTTCAGTCGCTGTGAATTTCAGTGCTTGATTATTTACCATTTACGCCTGACAATGGATTGCCTATTCCCCCTACGTTGCTGAACAAAAGATTTCTTTGCCCACTACAATCCTTTCCTGTCAGCCTGCCATCTTGGCGGAGAACTGAGACAATCGCAGAAACTCCTTCTTGAAGCCGATGCCTACACAACAGCTGGTTCGCAAAATTAACGGATAGGTGGACAAAGAGATTGATAGATAAGTAAATTGATAGGTAGACAGATGAATAGATAGATTGATTAAAAAAGAGATAAAAAAATATATCGGTAGGTAAGTACATAGACAGAGAGAAGGATGAATAAATGGAGAGATGCATAGACAAACAGATGAATAGATAAACAGCTGGAAGGATAGATGCGTATATAGATGGATAGTAAACAGACGGATGCACAGGATAGGCAGATTGATAGATCGACAGACTGACTGATAGACAGATGATTGGATGACAATCTTGGAAATTTTCACATGTGAACTAATGATCATTGTTCCTTGCGTTAGGTTGACAGCATTTGATGAAGAACCATTCGAGGCCTTCCAGTTTGTTTTAATTATTGTATATTAAAAATTGTAAATCCCTGTTCATCGCTGCGCCTAAATTTAAAACTTTTATTCTGAAACCGATCACATTAAGCAGTACACCTTTAATTAGAGCCTAAACAACGATGTGAAGCGTATTCTAGCGGTTATCTAAACGTGCCAGAGGGATATCTGCCCGTTGTTTCGACATTACATAACATTCCGACCCGCTTTGTTCCATAGACAGCGTAAAAACGGTCTTTCATGGACTTCACGTGGAACTCGCCTTACCTGGTGATTGATCTTTTCTAACAGTGATGCTGTTTTGCTCAGTAGGACAAAACCTCAAAAACTATGGGAGAGTTAATAATAAATCGTTTGTCTGAAAGAATGATCGACACACGGTTTCACTCCAGTAGCCATCATGATAGAAATGAATAAATACGCAGGAGCGATGATGTGTATTTTGAGTGACTGTTCATCATGGCCATTTCTCATTTTACGTAGATATTGGTGATTGCTTTGCTAGTTCAAAGGTAGACCTCACGTAGTATAGTTTATTCCTGCATTGGCTATGCCACAAATCGTGTAATCCATAATTCAAAATAAATTCATCCTTCCAATTACATTCCTACGATCGTTGCTCTTTATGTTAAGGGCACTCAGAACGCCGTAAAAGCAGACAAGGTTTATCACAGATAGTGTTACTTCTCGATATTAAGTGCAAAGAGTTTGCTTATTGTTTGCAATGTACTGTTTCTCAGACAGACAGACAGACAGACAGACAGACAGACAGACAGACAGACAGACAGACAGACAGACAGACAGACAGACAAACGGGCAGACAGACGGACAGACAGACAGTCAGTCAGTCAAAGAGAGAATGCCACATTATGCTGTTAGCAGCTAAGTTTCCAAGCGAAATACACTTCTACTTCTTCCATACCAAGGTTGAAATATTGGAATCCAACATGGAACGTGTCATGACGTCAGCGTTCCAGAGTAGGAATTCGGACAGGGGACACACTGAGGGTCGACAAAGAGACACACCAAGGGCTGCGATACTAAACATTGTAAACTCCTGGCATTGTCTCGTTTTGAAATCCAGTCTGGAGTTATGCTGGTTGTAGTAGGATGGAATAGTTGTCCCGTAAATGGCAGACGTATAAAATGAACAAGTATTTAATGTGTATGAACGGGTAAATATTAAATACATAGTATGTAAATACGAAGATTTGAACTTGCCGCTATAAATGATGTATTTCATAAAAAATATGCTGTAGATGCACCGAAGCGTCATTTTCACTGAAGTTGCCTTATTTATAGATAAAACCTGAATCTTTTTCACGGGTGTAAAGTTCTTCAACTCGACTTCAACTTCAGCTGGTTCTAGGGCTCCTTCCGCATAAGAATGTTGTGCACTGTATTCCTGATGTTTCAGACCGCGCTTACACCATTTTCAGAGAAAAATGTAATTGTAATTTCGTTCTTTGTACTTAAGGCTTTACGCGGCGTACAACGTCATTATTTCAATTGTTTTGGTACATTATTATTGCATAAACGTCGG